CACACACACACACACACACACACACACACACAGATATATATATACTCTCTCCGTCCCAGAGTATTTGTCCACTTTCATTTTTACACACCATCCAATACACTTCTTTAATCAATTTTATCTTGTAATTTGTATATTAAAAAATTATAGAAATTATATATTAATAATCTATATGTTAAGACAAATCAAACAAGATCACACATGACTATATTTAGGCTTACACATTGAGAGAATTTGATGAGTCGAAGTGCTTAGATGAACAGTTCCAAAAGTAAAAAGTAGACGAATATAGCGGGACGGAGGGAGTATATATATATATATATATATATATATATATATATATAGGTCTTATACATTTTAAGGAAGCTTGATCAAGACAAAGAAGACCGAGAGAGAGAGAGAAGATAAGTTTAAGTCTATAAGGCTACACTAAAAGAAAATGGGCTGCACTTAAAAATGGGTTTTTTCAAAATTTTAAATGGGCCCAAGGCATCAAGGCGAGGTAAGGCGAGGAAAGGCGACGCCTAGGGGAGCACCTGGTCGCCTTAAGGTTTTCTAGGCAAGGCGAGCAAACAAGGCGTCCCAGTGACAGCGCCTTATCGCCTAGGCGACGCCTTACAAACTATGCTTGTCTCAACCAGACATCATTGGATGTGCCAGTATTGTATAGGATAGAAGACACGGAACTAGATTTTAGGAAAATAATATAGGGATCATCCACACATACTCTATCTAGGGGTCGACTGTAGTTGAAGAAAACAGCATATGGTAACACACAATTACCATGAGCACTGAAAACATTGTATAAGGTTTTATTGGCTACAAATACCTGTTTACGACACGAGTGACAGTTGGTTGCACAAATACATGAACCCTGGCATTTCAGAAAAATGTAACAATAAAATCACAAATCTGACTAAAATTTTAGCAAAAAGTTTGATGGTCCCTGATATAAATGATCTAACCTTTATTGAGTCCTCATATTGATATGGATATAAAATGTACATGAGAATTTTACTGTACAGTGTGCAAATACATGCATGGAGCCGAAATAGTACACAATCCCATTGATTAATTCATAAACCAACACGTATTTTTTTAATTCGAATGTGTTTTAGAAATTACAGTAGCATATATAAGCAGGTATTGGTTTACTGTGTATCCAAAGTGCAAACCTTTAGTGCATGTTTGAGAGGAGTTTTAGAGGAGAAGGGAGGAGAGAGGTTACTTTACTTTTAAGAAAATATTGCTTAAAATTTGGGTGGGTGGGTGTGTGTGTGTGTGTGTGTGTGTGTATATATATAATGATAAAGTACTACTCCCTCCGTCCCGCAAAAAGCTTCTCATTTTGACTTTTAAAGGATTTAAGGGGAGTATATTTTGGTGTTGACTTTCCAAAAATGCCATTTGATGTGATGGATAAAGTATGATGAGATGTGTAGATTAATAGAGAAAAAGTGTGATGTGATAGGTAGGTTAAAAATTAATAGGGGTAAAAATGACTTTTTAATAGAAAAGAGAAGGGTTTTTTGGGACGGATGAAAAAGGAAAGGAGAAGGGTTTTGTGGGATGGAGGGAGTATAAGTTACTCCCTCGGTCCCACAAACATTTACACTCTTCACTTTCCAGAAATCATGGGAACTTTTGTTTGGTTGTGTGCTTTCATTGATTATTTGATGAAATAAAATATTCTTGTCACTTCTTGTTTTGTAGTACTTCTGGTTGTACTTTTTAAATATGAAAGTTTTATTTTTTATTTCTATACCAATATTTAAATAAAATGAATTGAAAAAATTTGACATTTTACTTCATTTTGCGTAAAGTGTAATTCATTTAGGGATGGAGGGAGTATTTATTTATTCCCATAAACTGATAGCCCGAATACAATTTTTTTAAGTCGAAGATAAAAAAAATATCCCCTCCAAAACCCTCCTCCCAAACATAACCTTAAAAATAGCCTGCATTATATGATCCTATGTTCAAAAGCATACAGTAAATTGGCTTTATGCAACTTCATGATCAAAAACTTACTTTGCCACCTGGCGCAATGGCCTCAAGGCAGGAGCATAAAGATCATTGCATATGCATATCACCTGCATGTAAGGCACAATTATGAATCACGAAAAGTGGAAACCTTTAATGAATTATAAATATAATACAAGGCATTCGCGCTTACAGGCCTTAGCAAAGATGTGGCCTTTTCCTTCTTTTTTGAGGGCTTCCGTACAGCATGTTCCCCTTGAGGATCATTTTCTTTTTCAGAAGAAGATTTTCTTTCTGCAGACACCTTAATCAGCACAGCAGGGGTCACTTTTTCTAGAAATTTCTGACTTGCCAGTGCATATTTAGTACTCCCTTTGCCCCATTTTATTTGTCCTACTTTCTTCTTAGTCCATCACAAAATATGGCCCACTCTCCTAATTTGAGCAACAATTTTTTGGCTTTTTTTATAACTCATTCTTTATCTCACTTAACTTTTTGAAATGGTTGGACACACTTGGCCTCACTTGATAAAAAACTTCGAAAATTAGACTATATTTTAATATGTTCTTGTTGGCATCCCTTCCCGAGTAACAATGATGGTGATACAATGTTGTACTCCACAGTAGTTTCATTTGCATGAATATGTATAGTCACTTGACTAGCAATGTACAAACAATTTATAATATACCATGCTACAAAAAAGGGACATATATTTACCAACTTTAAAATGACATCTACTGCACCTTTTCCATCATTAAGAGCACCATCAATTTCATCAATAACCTTAACAAGTTAAGATAAACAATTATAGCATGTTTAGAGGCTTATGTATTGAAAGATCAAATAAGAAGGTTTGAGTGAAAGAGAGAAAGACAAACAGAAAGAAAGAAAAAAGAAGGAAAACACAGTGAGACAAACCAAACATTTGGGTTTTGAATCAGCAAAGACAGAGTTCATCTGGATACTATCCAGAATCTTGGCTTCTATCGTTGATGATGACCTGTCATCACTTGCATTAATCTGCAATAAAGTCATCTTATAGTTTAAGCTAGTTTACACAACATCTTTATACATAATTTGCTATATAACAGTTTAGTATCCTATGAGAAATCAGCTAGGCAGCCAAAGGTAGACCGCATATTAGCCGGTTTTTTTTATTTTTTGCAAGAAAAGTCCAACTTAAAAGGTGGTAGATAGTAGATACTTTAAATCACTCACTGACCCTCTACTACAAAAAAAAAATGCTATAATTTTAAAAATTTGGTTTTAAATAAAGAACCAAGAACAAAAAACTTAAATGGAATCAAGTGCTAGAGAACTCGGCAAATTAAAATTTAGAAGACCTCAACTACTCGGTATCCACAATGCCGAGCAGCGACATGAGCAAGTGTTGTTTTCCCAAGCCCAGGAGGACCACAGAGTAGAAGAATCTGCAGTGTAGCATTTCACTAATGAGTAAAGTTAAATCAAAGTAAATTGATAATAAATCTAAAGGAAGAGTGAAAAATACTGAAAACTATAATTTGAAAAAAACTAATACAGACCAAGATGTTGAATGCTTTTATAATCACAGTATACATGATCTTAAAAGCAGTTAAGCAACTAATATGTAAACAACAAGAAATTTGAAAATGCTTAAAAATGCATATCAAGAAAATATTTCTTTCCGGTGCCTGAGAAGATTATTCAAAAGTAATGAATCATTTACATTTTGATTAGAAATGGATCAATGCAGAAGAAAGGCAAGAGATGATTTGCACCTTCTGAAGGATGTTTCTCAAACAGATACTCCCTCCATCCTTTAAGATGTTTGACTGGAGTTATTTCAATTTAATTTATTTAAAAATTGGTGTAGAAACAAAAATTAAAATTCTATATTTATAAACTATGTCAAAAGTTCAACAAAACAAGTGGTGACATGACCATACTCTTTTATCAAATAAGTAACGAAAATAGGCAAAGAAAGTGGATAAAGTTTGACCATATGAATAGTGAATGGGAACTTCATTTTGGGACAGAAGGCGAAATATAGCTTACCTTGTGTTCTGGTGGACCAGAATTTCTAGATTTCTTGTCCCCTACACCCTTGAAATCATTCGATTCACCCTTTGCTTGAAATGGAAGATTATGAGACCTGTCTTTGGTGAATATAGATCCTCTGTTGATTCCATTAGTCTTACGCCCAAAAAAATGTGGGCGCTTAACAGATGAATGACGTCGCAAAGCAGTCAAGACATTATCGGTTGTACTCTTTATTTCAGATCCATAAACACATGAATCCCACTGTTTCAACCACATTAGAACCTACAATAAAGTTATAACAAAGTGTTAACAACAGAGCATGTAAATAGGATTGGGACATCCATATGGTTGAATGTTTGACACTTCAAATCTCCACTTGAACCAATTGTGGCAGTTTCAAATTCCAAAGTGTGACTGGAAGTGGGAGTTTCAAACAATGGATGACCAAGTTCCCATTTCTCAAAATCAGACACATTGGAACAGAAATGGAAGCACTAGTTAAAATTCAATGATGTGGTTCTAACATGTTGTTTAAATATTTTGGTGTACCTAAATAGCAATTCCAAATGTGAACCCCATCAATTTAACCAGGCATAGACATATGATGCATTACCTCTCTATTTGTGTGCTCATTACTAAGAAGTTCTGTAAATGAGCTTGGAGCATACTTTTCCACCCAGAGTTGCTCGGTTAGTATTGTGGTTTTTGAAGGACTTGCTTCAATCTGATCTTCCGAGCTAGCTTGCAAAGCCTTGATTTTTTTAAAAGAAGAAATATAAGGCAGTAAGAATTTGTGGATGAAAGTGCAATAAGCGGAATTATTTTGAGCTCTGAGTATATCTCAAATCACCATTTAGATTCACAGTTGAGCACGTGACTGTTAGGCTAAGATCTTACAATATCAGAGGTAGCAGATTGGATTTGAAAACATAACCTGTCCAAACTAACAATCATTTAGAGTTTGAAAAATCATTTGGAAAGTCATTCTACTAGTTAGCTTAGCCAGATAGATAGAATAACCATCAGCCACAGAGAACTTTTTTTACTAGCATAGCAAGGTTTGACTGTCTTAAAACTACATTTGGAAAATTCAAACGAATATAGTTTTTTTGTGGACAGTGACTAACATCAGTTCTCCGAGAAGCAAAAGTTGATAGTACTTAATGTTCTTAAGAAAGACATTGAAGGAAATATCACGCAAAACATGTGAGTTAATAACACCGAAAGCGACCATGTCCTGCCTGTAAATTTGTGAGACTTAGAAAGCGTTTGGTTGACACCCCAATCAACTATTCTTAGGCTGCTTGAAGGGACTTTAGCTGTTTGACTACAACCAAAAAGCTATTATGGTTTTGGTGAACAATTTGGGATAGCTAACTCACCCCAAACAACAACAAAAAAACAGAATTTTAATAGCAGATTACAATAGCTGTTCGGAAAATTACCTTTATTTTCTTCCCAAAATTTGTAAGGGAAATAAATAGTAAGTGGCCTAGAAGGACGTGGTCTAAACAATTTTTTCATAAATATCTAATTTCACCAAACATATTTTTAAGCAAGAGCTATAAAACAAATAGCTACTATAAATTGCTAATACAAACAGCTAATTTTTGTTTTCCATACATCCCCTCAAACTCTTCTAGAAAAATTTTGGAGCGTAACAAAATAAGTCCAATAATGAGTTCCACTACTTTTTGAAACTGATACAAAATATTGAAGGTGACTCCAAAATATTTTCTTCCAAAAATTGTCGTTTTCTGCATAAATCCTTACAGTCTATGGGTAGGCATTATAATAGCAAACAAATGGCACCTATGATCCTACTTATAGTCCGAGTACTCCTTCTAGAGGAAAGAAGATCATAAATTCTGTGAAGCGCGGAACAAGTAAAACTAACTTCATTGCATTTGCTTGAGAAGAAAAGAGTACCAACCGATAAAATTAAATCAAGGTGCTTTATTAGAAACTCTAATTATTCTAACAATGTGTGTAATGCGAGGTCATCATTTTCTATTCTTGGAGTAAAGGATAATGCCTTAACTTTCACACCTTTGTAAATTCATCATGTTCTACTTTCTGCATAAGCACCCTGATAGACTCTCGAATAAGACCTGAAAAATTAGTGAACTTCTTTAATAAATAAGCTCTGTATCTATCTGCTAAAAACAAGATTTTGTTACATTATCTCAAGAACAAGTAGCCTTCTACTTCACTCACCAGTAGATTCACCCTTTGTGTCCAACTTCCGGGTCCTCTCTCTCATATTATATCTGCATATCTTAGCATAAACCCTCTCTCCATCCAGCCCTGTGACCGGTACACAATCACCATTAATTTCCATGGCATACCTCGACAAAGTCTTTTCCTTCTCCTCCTCTTTCTCCACCTCCTCAGGAGCAGGCGGCACAGGCGGGGGCGAGAAGCGGAGCCAATCCTCGTCGCATTCATTTTCCACTCTTTCAACCCTGATTCGTTTCTCCTGAACGGAAGCCCCATTTTCTGAAACAATAGGGCCCAGGTCGGGTCGGAACCGTTTCTTGGTCTGGTTGGGGACTAGGGGTTTGGGGGGGATTTCGAGGGTGGGCTTTGGGGGCAATTGAAGTGGGGGGTTTCTCGGTTCGGGAACGTCGGCGTCTTTAACGGGGTTTACGCATGCGATTTCTTCGTCGGGCTCCGACGGCGGGGACGGTGGTTGCTGGAAATCGTCTTCCAGATTGAGATCGTCGTGGACGTGGTACGAGTTCGATTCGAGCCATTCGAGCTCGGAAGGATCGGGAATGTCCATATCCATCTCCATAGCAATTCTTCAGCTGGTTTCGATCCTTAGATTGGAGGGGGCGCTGATGAACTGTGAAGTGGGCCGAGATGAAGAAGGGGAAGGTCTATGTTTTGGTCGGATGAGTGGGAAGAAAAAGATAAAAAGAACTTTACTTATCAATTGTCTATGACGCTTTGCAAAGTGAGATTTTCTTTAAGTATTAACATCTCCCTTTTTTTATCTAGATGTCTCCAATGAACAACAACAACAATCTAGTTAAATCCCACAAGAGAGTAGGGTTTGGGAAAAGTGTGTGTACGCAGACCTTATACCTACCCGAAAGTAGAGAGACTGTTTCAAAAGAGACCCCCAGCTCAACGTCGAAAGTTGCATTGCTTGACTAACTGTTACTTCACTAATTAAAGAAGTGCAGACAGTTTAGAGATCCATTTTGATTTATTCCATCACACCCCAAAGCCAAAAAATGGTGAAATTTTGGCTCCATCGGAAATGATGGAAAAATGTCTCCAATGAATATGTAAAACAAAATGATGTTTTTTTACTTCTTTAGCTAGGCACATTTTAAGGAGCGACAAAGACTTTATGGTCGAGCAGCATAATCGTGACTCTCTCGAATAGAAGGTCGTCAAAGGTTCGAACCCTAGTGGATATTGATTCGTTGTACTACTTCCGTCTCATAGCAATATTGGAACTTTGGATTACGATGTATGGTCGATATTATTTTCAACATAATTCAATTTATATAAAGATTGATGTAAAATTAATAAATACAACCTACTATCTTTGTTCCAAAATGTATGTCTAATTTTGATTTTTTTGTAGTTTACCATGATCAGTCTTAAACCTTTACTTAGATAAAAGTTTTGTGATACCAAAGTTGTTGGAACCATCTCATGAGAGAAAAAATGTGATGATAGCTCTTGAAAATCCAAATACAAAAGCTAGAAAATGATGTTCGGAGAGGCAATCCAAGACATAAACCAAAGTTTTGACGATATCACTAACAATTTGAGTAAGTTAAAAGGGAATTTACTATTAACGAGCTTAACACAAGACTATTTTTTTACTCAAAGAATGAAATAGTAGCATTGTTAAGTTAATACCCAAGTATGCTATGGTTAATACCACAATCATTTGGTTTTCTATATCATGAGCTACTTTTGAGAAAAATTGAAAGACAAAGAAATGGTGGCCAACTCAAAGTCAAGAAGCACATTGATAAATACAAACAAACCATAAGTGAAACAAGTTAGTCAAGCAATTCAAATGACTCAAACAAGTCAAGTGAAGAAGGATAAGACGAAGACGCATATTGAAGAAACTCCTCGTGTGTAAAATGTTAACCTTGATTTGCTAAATCTTTTTTATGATAATAAATAACTATAAGAGCTAACGTTTGAGAATTTCAAATACGACTCAAATCTATTAGTGTATTGGTTCTCAAGAACAAAGTTTATATATTAAACCTGCGTATGATATACATGTTGACGCCCAAAGCACAACGAAATTTGATTGATTTAAGTTGTTTTATAATGTACTTCCATAGTCTCCAAATTAAACTCCTAGTATGATTTTGTACGGTTAAAGAAAAATGTTAAAAAATAAATAATGTATAGTAAGAACTTTTCTATATGAGAGAAATATTGTGAGCCACGTATATTTTAAGAAAGAAAATTGGATAAGTGGGAACTTTATTTTAGAGATGAAAAAAGAAAATGTAAATTTAATTTGGGGGAGAGAGTATGATCAACCACAATGTTATTTCTCCGTGGGTGGGGTCACACAAAATCATTATGAATGACTACTAACTATTGCTAGTCATTGGAATGCTTTTACAAGTGAATATCAACACAGGCTTTGAATTTCTCTCTTGGCTTGAGTGGTAGGAAGTTCACTCCCCAAGATTCATGAAAAATATGAACAAATACTTTATTGTAATTGAGTCAATAGCACTCAAAAAAATAAGTATATGATCGTTTATAAGACTATAGTTCTGGTAAAGAATTCCAAAAAAAGTACATGCCAAAATTGAGATTCTCAAGCTCACACATCGGCTACGCATAATACAGTCCTTACCATGGTAACGTGTACATTACAAGTTCACATAAGCTAAAGGATCCACATACAGAAACAAAATATTCACAAACTATACAGAGAATAATGTACAGCAACAAACCCAGGAAAATCCCACAAAAGTAGGGTCTCAGGGTGGGTGTGTGTGTGCACAGGCTTTACCACAAAAGTGCACCTTACCTTTTACATAGTGCCAAAAGGTCCTTCGAATCTTTGATGGCACAAAGACAATGCATTGAATAAGCCACCTACAATTCAATACCAGATGAATACTAGACTAAAAATATTGGGGTTCAAGAAGAGAGAACTAAACAATTACCGATTTGCATATAAAGAATCCGGTCATGAGTTTGGTAGTTGAGCAATGGTCCATCTGTCAGGACAACACCCACTAACTATCATTCTTCCATAGACTGCATATGCTCGATCAAGATCACCCGACACGGTATACCCTTTGATCAGAGCATTATATGTGAATACATTAGGCTCAAGACCCAGACTCTGAAGTTTTTCATACACTTCGCTTGCCTCTTCCATCCTTCCAATGATTCCAAGATTGATGATTAAAGAGTTATATGTATAGAGGTTGGGAGCAACTCCTCTGGTTTGCATCTCATCAAGAAGACTCAAGGCTTCCTCAAACTTCCCTGCCTTCCCGAGGCCATTGATCATAAGATTGTATGAAACTAAATCAGGAACAATGCCCGACGATTTCATTTCCTCAAAGTAACGCACGGCTTCGTCCACTTTTCCTGCCAAGGAAAGGCAATCCACAAGAATGGTGTAGGATTTTAAATCTGGTTTGATGCCTTCTCTGATCATCTTCTCAAACAGATGGCAAGCAGTTTCTAAATCGCCTGCCTTTCCAAACCCATTTATGGCGATATTGTAGATGGCAGAGGTAGGTTTGCAACCATAGTTCATCATTTCCTCAAATAAATTCGTTGCCGCATCAAAATTTCTAGCCATCAAATGGCCATCTATCAAAGGACCATAAGTACAGGGGGTGGGAGAAAAGCCACCACTGACGAGATCATGATAAATATCTAGTGCTCTCTCTAGCTTACCTGACTTCACCAGACCAGAGATAAGTATGTTGTAAGTTGTAGGATTGGGTTCGCATTCTCTCTGAAGCATTTCTTCATACAGTTCAAAAACTTCGTCCATATTTCGAGTCTTTCCAAGATGGCCAAGCAATGTGTTATATGTGAAGACATTTGGGGCGCAGCCATTGTTCTTCATCTCTGCAAAAGCACTCCATGCCAGCTCTGAAAGACGACAATCAAGAAGTCCCTCAATCAAAGGGTGATATGAGTTTAATGTTGGACGGATTCCAAACGATTTTGTAAACTTTACAAAGGCAGAGTGAGCATCAAGAGCTTTCTTTTGCTTACACAGAAATATTATTAAAGGTACTATAATCGCGTCACTTTTGCAAATACCCTTAGACGCCAGCATTTCAATGAACAATATGGAGTCTTCTGGTTTTGCTTTATTCATAAATCCCTCGCAAAGACTTCTCCAGAAATCGTCATCTGCTCGATGTGGCATTTGCCAAATGAAATCCCCTATAATTTTAAGAGCATACTCAATGGAGCCATCTTTTACAAGACTAGGAACAATAATGGAAATCGTTACACGATCAGGCTGAACAATTTTCTTCATCTGATTGAAGAGCCAAAATGCTTCACGAACCCGGCTCTCTTTAGCCAATCCATGAATGACAGTGTTATAAGTAAAAACATCAGGATTGCAATTTGTTTGTGTCATCTCATAAAGCATCTTCATGGCTCTATCGACCTCGCTGGCCTTGCAAAAACAATCCAGAAGAGTATTATAAGTTGTTGTGTCAGGAGAGCATCCCTGTGTACTCATCATGCTCTCAAATAATTCAAAAGCCTCCTGAACTTTACCTTGCTTGCTAAGTCCAGCCAATAGTGTGTTATAGGTCACAACTGTAGGGACAAGTCTCATATCCTTCATTCTATTAAACACTTCCCAAGCCTCATCAGCTCGACCAGCCTTGTAAAGTATGTCGATCAATGAATTAACTATAAATGCATCAGGCCGACATTCATTCTCCATCATCTCATGTAGCAAATGAACGGCTTCATCAACTTTCCCTGCACTTCTGTAGCACTTCATCATGATGTTATAAGTTATAATATCTGGATCAAGTCCACTTCTTCTTATCCCATCAAATACACTTTTAGCCTCCCTGAATCTGCCCGAATCCACCAGGCTATTCAGAGAAGCATTGCAAGCGACTAGATTTGGCACAATTCCTTGAGCTTTCATCTTCTCAAATGTTTGAAGTGCTTTATTAGGATCTCCAACTTTTCCATAGTAGTCAATGAAGGGGACATACGTGAAACAATTACCTTGGATTCCGAAAGACCCCATGCTATCTAACAGTAGTAACGCGTCATTCAACTTGTTGATTCTTAGAAGGCCACCAATCAGTGAGTTGTAAGTATGAAGATTAGGTGATACTCCCTTCTCTCTCATAACATCTAATGTTGAAAAGGCTTCATCGACCTTCCCAACTTTGCACAATGCTTTAATCAGTACAGTGAATGTAACAACATCCGGTTCGTAACCATCGGCTTCCATCCTGTCAAGAAATTCCCTAACAGAATCCAAGTCCCCTAAGTCACTAAACCTGCCCAACAGTGTGATATACATTACTCGATCAGGTTTATGGTTAAGGGATTTCAGCTTAATGAGAATTTTTTTAGCGGCATCAAGTTTTCCAGCAACACATAGAGCATCAATAAGGACTGTGTAAGTAACAACATCAGGTGCACACCCCTCGCTTTCCATTCGCTTTAATATAGTATAGAGCTCATCAATTTTTCCGGCTCTCCCAAGCACTCTAATGCAGATGGTAAAGGTGTAAAAATTAGGTTTCAATCCCGCGATAAACATCTCGTTTAACAAATTCATGACCGTCACACTATCCCTTCTTTTCTCATAAGCAACCATTAAAGCTGAGTAAGTCTTAAGGTTCAGCTTAATGCCTTCTGAAATAGCTCTTCTATATACTTTTAAAGCCTCCCGATGCAATCCAGCGTGAAGAAGTAAGTATATCAAGCCGTTATAGGAATACGCATTTAACACAAAACCTGCTCCTCTCATCCTATCAAGGGCAAATGGTGTCATTCTCATCCCTCCGCGTACATGTAGACCTCTGAATATAGTCAGATATGTGTCCAGATTCCTATTGATAACCTGTTCTTGCATTACATCAAACACCATAGCCATATCATTGACCCTCCCATGAGTCCTCAAAAACTCAAGCATGTAATTACATGTTTCCGTGGTGTGCACCACCCTAGGAAGCTCAAGAACAGAATTAAACAGACGAACGGCTTCACTCGGGTCTGAAAACGACTTGAGAATCTCAAACACTTCCTCTGAAGAAATCTCATTCTTCAGACCCTCCATGGAGGAGTTCATCACATTCTGGCAGACACCCACATTTTTTCTTTCCGTTTTCTTCCTAATTCCTACACACCTACCTTCAAAAACCTTCAAAGTTTTAGTCTTTCGGCCTCCTAATGTTCCATTACTGACTGAAACCCACAGTGAAAGAGAGCTATTCCTACCCGGCGCAGTATCAGATACGGATATACAATTATGATAAACGCAACAGAATCTCGACGAATTAAGGACAACCACAGCCATATTCGAAAAAGAAATTCAATTGCTTAGCAGAAACCAGGAAGCCACAAACAAAATCACAGAGGGGACATTGAAAAGTGAAAATGAATCTATGGTGGGAGGAAGGAGATGATGGGCTTATCTTTTAGAATGTGGATTAAGTGGGCAGAGCCGCAGAGCCTCGCGGAAGCAATTCGTCCGTCTTTTGGATGGATCAAAGCAATTTCATCTTGTGTAGGCCCAAAGCTAAATAACACAACGGATTTTAAGAGTGACAAAAAGTAACAAACCTTGACCCGACTTAAAATAACAAGCTTTGAGTATCGGTTTTGTTGACTGAATTCGAAGATGAACGAATTTAAAATGACTCGCTAAAAAAGGGTTCAAATCTGATTGAATCTGAATCTGACCTAGTCGATCCGGTAATGTAAGAGTTTTTCAAAATCATGTACTGTAATATGAAAATTAATGTAATAAAAATAAGGTTATGTCTTAATTTTTTTTCTTATTACTCATTTTTAGTGTTTAAATCTATACTTTCAAACAAGTTTTTTGATGCTATCACATAGTTATCATACGTTTATCCAAAAGTGGTACATGTTTAATTTTTCTATTATTTATAATTTTGTTAAATACATCTAAAAAGTATTTAAAAATTCAAAATAAAATATTCTCTAAGATATTTTATATATGTATTTTGATACTTCGTACTTTATTACTCCCTCCGTCCCAAAAAGTCTGTCCCGTTTCATTTTTTGCGCATCCCAAAAAATATTTCTACCCACATCTAAAATGCCTGCAATTTACCACATTTACCCTTTATTATGGGTAGAAGGCATTTTGGAAGTTTTTTTTGACATTTGAAACGATATAAAAATGTTTTATGGGATGCGCAAAAAATGAAACGGGGCAGACTTTTTGGGACGGAGGGAGTATTTTTTAGTGCAAAAATGTAAGTGGCAGTATGAGTTGAACTTAAAAATTCAAAATATATGTCCCATAACTCGTAGGGTCAATCTGAACCCGATCACACCGGGTCATGAACATGTAGCTAGCTAGTTCTCAACCCGAACTCGAGCTGACTCGAACCCAATGTGATCAAATCCGAACCCGACTTAACTGACCAATTTGTCAGCACTAGGAAGATGAACTATAAAGTGTTTGATAAAGAAAATAAGCACATAGTGAGCTAGTATCTTAATTACAAATTTAACTCTAGTAAGAGCTTGTTCTCTTAACTTATTTTTTACTTATTATATATTATTATTGAAACCAGATCAAATCAAATCGAAAAAACTTTAAATATAACTACAATAATCAAGTCAGAACATAATCGAATTTGATCAAAACCAATCAGAAAAGTTGAAGTATACAAGCCCTAACTAGCAGGGGTATGCACAAATTGGTAAACCAACAAATCAAACCGAAATAAAACTAATATTTTTGTGACCAAAACAAAAATAATAGCTTGGTTTGGTATTCAGTTTTTCAATTTCAAAAATTTTGATTTTGGGTTTGATTTTCTTGTATTGATTGATATATAATTCTATTTTAAAAAACTAAATACGAATTTCACATTATTATACAAGTAAAATAAATTTGAAAACTAAATAAATAAAATATTTACGTAAGGAGTAATATCTTCACACTAAAATACAGATGAGATGCACACAATCCAAGTTTTATTTATTAAATTATTACACAGAACGCTGAGAAATTCAGTACAGACACACTAAAATAGAGGGAATTGGTTTATGATATCATTGGATCTAAAGCAATATATAGACCTCTTAACAATAGGACAACACACATAGGTCTTCGCCATGTAAATTTCACGAATTTGTTGTTTCCATGTATTACATTTTTTTTGTGACGATGACAACGACATTGTAAAGACGAATATTCCCTTTAAAGAAAGACTCCAGAACCTTCTTTCGGCATTGATGCTCAATTTTCTCGATAACGCCCTCTCCGAAATGAGTGAGAACCAATGGTTCAGACACCGCTCTAAAACACTTGAAAACGTTGTACCCTTCTTCTTCCAACTTATTCTCGTCCACGAACTCAGAAGGATCCCAATGAACGTATGCAACTTCCAAGGAGTTGATGGAGAAGGACCCCTCGTTTTCAACTATGTGCTTCACTTCCCTTGGAGATGGTGTGTAGTAAGGAATGTTGAAAGTGTTTAACTTTTCTTCTTCAATCAATCCCTACAATTACATTTTATCAATAGTTTTCTTCACTCCATATTGCTAACACTATGTTTGAATTAGGTTGAGAAGTTAGAAAGTAAACAAGAGTCATGAAATGGTTCTAACTTTGCTAAACATATATACCTGGTCAACAAGATCACTGAGTGCCAATCCTAAGAGTTCATAGAGATGGTAACATTCCCTGCTGCGTGGGTCTTCACTTTTCCGCCCAGCAATGGTTAGAACCATACCCCCACCAGCCACCAACTCCTTGGCCCTACACTTTATAAACGTCCCAAAGTCTCTTTCAAATTGCTCGTAGTATGCTTTAACCACACATGGCGGAGTGTTTGGTGCCAAGTAAATGTTCCTTTTATTCTCTTCTGCTCCTCTTGGTACCTAATAGCAATTTACTAGCAGTCTCTTTATTGACTTATTGCTATTTTTGTACTTGTAAACTGCTTACGGAGTATAAATTAAATATTCTTTCGTGGACGTAAAATGACTTAAATAATACTTCCTCCGTCCCATAAAGATGTTCTCGTTTTGACTTTTAGGAAATTTAAGGAAGAGATAATTTTGTGTTGACTTTCCAAAAATACATTTGATTTGATGAGTAAAGTAAGATGTGATGGATAAATTATTAGTAAAAAGGTGTGATGTCATAGGTAGGTTAAGAATTCATTGGATAAAAGTCATTTTTAATGTGACTTTCCCAATGTAGTACCATATGTTTTTATTTCCCAATGTAGTACCACTGTTCAATGTCCACTAATCATTGTTCAAGTAAATGTCCACCGCCACAGGACATTGTTCAAAACAAATGTTCATCATCAATGTAAATTGTTCCCGTCACTAAACATTATTCAAGTACTATTTAGAAAATTAAAAGTTTAAATGTTACACTAGGAAAGGACATATGTTTTAGTGCTATTTAATGCAAATTTTGCGTAAATTATTTTGAAAAATTCATAAATGGCAAGGGATGATTTTGTAAATAATCCGACCAAAACGGGGAAAATGAAAAAACTAACTTAAAAGTAAGTAGGTCATAAGACCTACTTATTTGTTCTCGTTTATAAGCATCTTATTATAAGCACAAGAATCGAAAGATGTCACCAACTAGCTTATAAGTTCAAAACAGCTTATAAGGAGTTTTGACCAGTTATAAGTACAAAAAAACACTCACATAATCTCTTTTATTTGTACGCATGTGTTAATAATAATGTGCAAATTAAAATGAAAGTATATATACAAATAACACAATAATAATGTACCTGAGATAGCCACATGAGACCATAAGAAGAATGAACGAAATGCAGAGAATTGGTAGGAAACAGCCTCTCATAAAAGGATCCAGGAACTCCATTGCAGAAACATTCCCCATCAAACCCTTCTCCCATCTCTTTCTTCAAGTCTTGTAAATGCTGAGGCCATGATCCAAATATGGCGTTGAAGTCGTTGCCCGGAAGGTCGTTCAAGTATATGTTGTATTCCGGGGACCGGAGTCCCCCTCCGGCCTCATTCTGGGCACAGTGGTGTATCACTTTGATGAGGTCAGAGACAGCGGAGAATGCATTTGGTCCCGAGGAGCAGCCGAGGTCCGCAATGGAGATCGTCTGTGGCCTGAGCTTTGTGTAGGTATCATTTATGGCCTTTTCTACTATTGGCTTTGTCAAAACCAATCCCTTTTTCTGTTTGGGAACAACGTTTTCGATTAATGTTAGCGTTTTGGATAAAATTTTAAGAGTAAATTCCCAAATTAGTCCTCGGTAAAATGGGTTTTTCCAAATTTAATCCTTCATAAAGAGTAATGAATAAGATGGTCCTTTATAATTGGCTTTATAATTGGGATTCTTACTCAAACCAGTCCTTTTCCAAACTGCCGTCAACCTCCTGTTAAATACGGAGTACTTGAACTGTTTTATACAGTACTTCCTAATTTTACCTTAAATTTTCATCTAACCTCTATCTAGATTGTTTTACACGGAGTACTTCCCTTACCCTCCCTTTCACCTAACTGTAATGTACAATACCAATTAAACCAAACATTGAATAAAGTATACTTTGAAGAAGGGAGAGAATTTTGAAATCCAAAGTGGGTACTCAATCGCCCATTTTGAAGAGCACGGCCTGCCAAAAACGGAAGAGAGGGAAGCCTTCAATCTTCGGCGCTGAAATACCATCTGTTCAATTTAAGGTTTTTTTTTTTAGCGTTTTGGAACATTGTGCATATTTCCTAGGGTTAAAGCCTGTGTGTATGTTCGAAAAGTGTTGACTGCTAATTTTCTATTGATTCCCCCATTTCCTGAAAAAATTCATTTGCAGAATTTAGGTATAGGTGAACACTCCTTTGAAGTTTTTTTTTTACTGCTAATCCTTGGTATTTGTATAATTATTGTAACTTAAGAGCATTGAAAGTAACATTCAAGCTTAATGGAAAGTTGGGTCAAGATTCATCAAGGATTTTCCTCAATTTAGTCCTCTGTGTAAAATACGGAGTATGTCTCTTTACTCTAAAAGGTACAGTAAATGAAAGGTTATGAGAGGGGTAAAGAAAATTACAAACTTATCTACAAGTTTGACAGTACATTAACGGCAGTTTGGAAAAGGACCGATCTGAGGAAGAATCCCAATTATAAAGGACCATCTTATTCATTACTCTTTATGGAGGACTAAATTGGGAAAAACCCATGTTACCGAGGACTAATTTGGGAATTTACTCAAATTTTAATGATGTAAATTAATCCTGAAAACGCTAACGCTAAGGTTACCGTTAGATAGTTTTTTTCAAAATCCTAATGTTAATCTCTAATGTTGATGCCAGACTGGGTGGAAATGTACGAAACAAATCCCTCAGTATTAAAAAGACTTGTCTTTTTTTTTCAAAGACAAGATTTTTCTATTTACTTTATTTTTTTTTAAAATTTCATTATTTATATCATAAAATAATTATTTCCACTTTGTATTTGTAGACCGTTTGATTAATTTTTAATTTCATCTCATTTTTCATATAAATTAAATTGAAAATGAATCCACTCAACCATCATTATATTATACCTCTACAAATCTATGTGGGATGGATGGATTCATTAGGACTAGTTTTTTTCTACTAATTTTTTCAACCATCACTAAACTTGGCTTATATATATATATATATATATATATATATATATATATATATATATATATATATATATATATATTTGTACCTGGAGTATAGAGTTTTTGGAATAGCTAGAATCTCCAACCCCTCCATTCATATGTAGCACTTCGCAAACTCTCATCTTTCTCACTTTTTAATGTATTTTGGCTTTGAGTTTAGTCTCCCTACAAACCCCACATACACATAACTCTCCTTTTATAGATGGTTTATTAGGGATATATATATATATATATATATATATATATATATATATATATATATATATATATATATATATATATATATATACTCACGTTACGTTGTCCCATACTCCCATCTCTACTCTCTATTTTAATAACTTGCACATAATAAATAATATTCCCCCGTCCTAAAATTATGGTCTCATTTTGAATAACACGGAGTTTGTAAAAATTTATTTTATTTTAAAAAAATATTTTTTTATAAATTGGTATAGAAATTTAAAAAGCACAAATTATATTTTTAAAAACTACACCAAAGTTTCTACAAAACAGGATATGAAAACATGCAAACAAACAAAAATTATCAAGAGAACAAAATTGTAAATCTGACGATGGTTTTGGAAGTACATTTTCGTACATTTCTTTAATTTTAACTCTTAACTTAAAACATCTTCTAGTTTTTTTCAATTTGCTTTCATTTTTTTCTGATCCCTCCAGTTTCTTACAATTTCTTTTCATTCATTCTAGTTTCTTTCAACAACACTGAAAATTATTTTTGTGCATTTTTTATATTATTCTTATCTCATTTATTATAATAACTATTACTACCTCCGTCTCAAAAAATTTCCCCACTTTTGGAAAAAGGTACTCCCTCCGTTTCAAATTGATTTATACTTTTACTATTTAATTTGAGTCTCGATCGATAGCTTTTGTTTACTCGTATGTTTTCATAGGTACATCATTTAATAAAATAAAATATATTTGTCACATCTTGTTTTGTAAATTTTTTTATGTAGTTTTAAGTAAATAATTAATATGTACCTTTTATTTTTATACCCGTTTATTATATAAAATCATTTTTAGAAAGATAAGATTTTACACGTTGTTTGGAGAGTGTAAACGAATTTTGGACAGAGGAGTAGGATTTAAGGAATGTGTAATTTTGATATTCTTTTCCAATTTTTGTTGCAGGGCGTGATAAAATGTGATGAGTAGATAAATAGTGAATAGATATGATGTGATACGTAGGTTAATAATTACAAGCTATAAAAAAGAGATTTTAATTGAAAATCTGTTTTTTTGATGAATGAAAAGTGAAAGTGAAAAATATATTTAAGACGAAGGAGTATTATTTAAATAGTTTTCAAATAATTGTAAACCCATCGAATATTCGAATACAATTGTACTCCAAAAGCTATTAGAACTTTCTTTCCTAATTTTTCCACTCATTCTAGTTTCTTCTAGAGTGCTTTTTTCATGCACCTTGAGTGCATATAAATTTTGTAGACCTTCTCACATAATTTTTTCTAATATTTTTATATTTAAAAAAACAAATGTCTATTTAGATAGTAAAGAAATGCTTATTTTGCTTAGAGTAAATTCCATAAAAGGTCTCCAGTTATAGGTCGTTTTATATATTTAGTCCCTACCTATCAAATATTACTAATTTAGTCTCCAATTATTATATTCATTTTCACGAATGGTCCTTTGTTAACATTTCCATTAAGAACGTGGATAAAATTGTAAATTCACACTTCTTTCTCTCCCCAATTAAGCTTCCTCTCTCCCCTCGCACTCCTTTCCCAAACCATCGCTGAGTTTGAAGCTTTGAACCCAAAACCGAAATCATCACTCTTCTCTCAATTATTTGTCTAACTGGTGGAACCCAAATTCGAAACCAGTAACCTTTAAGGATGAATTCTAATGTTTATTTTCTTTGCAATTTCTTCAGACTAATTGATAAAACTCATCCATAAAGCTTATTAGTTTTGATTTTAGGTTCCACCAGGAAAACTAATAATTGAGAGATGAATGATCATTTCAGTTTTGGATTTAGAGCTTCAACCTCAGCGACGAGTTTGAGAAAGAGTACGATAGGCGTGAAGAAGCTTAATTGAGGAGATAGAGAAGTATGAATGTACAATTTTATCTATGTTCTTAACAAAAACGTTAACAATGAACCATTCGTGAAAAATGATATAATAATTGGGGACTAAATTGGTAATATTTGATATGTAGAGACTAAATATGTAAAACGACCTATAACTGGAGACCTTTTATGGAATTTACTCTTTTGCTTATATGTAA